CCCCAAAACCCCAAAACCCCAAAACCCCATTAAGTTGAATCAATTAGAAATAATTGGTTTAAAAATATAAAATCAATCAATAATCATTAAAATCTCAAAATAATAATCATTATTATCCTTATTGCTGCTATCTATTAATTTTATCAGCAAGCAAAAGCACTTTCCGTTTTAAGTCCTCGGACTTTCTTGATATAAAGCTTGTATGCACTTGGATATTCTTAGCTATATTAAGTATATTTTGATTATCTCTATTGAGATTGCTCATTAGTTGAGATATTTCGTAAGTATTCAGAGCAAGCAAACTCATATTGTTGTTGAAAGCATTCAGATTTTTCTCATAATAAGCCTCACTATCATTAAGAATCTCTAGCTTTTTTACTTCTCTTTCTAATTACTCCAGCTTTTATTCTTGGTCTGACTTTTTCTTGGCATTCTCGCCGTTTTTTGGACTGTTAATGGGAGGGAGTCTTAGAGTATTCTATTAAGGTGTATTTTTATCCTTAAACTAGTTGATAACATGCTTCATTCCCTCTGAATAAGTAATAATTGGTATTTGCTACTCTCTCATCTTTGGTCTTGGAAAGAACTCATTTTTTGCATTGACTTCTTGCTCTTCAGTTCCTTCATTAGAATAATCCTTTGATGACTCTGGTGAGCCTAAAAGTTCTCTTGTCACAGATGTGCCATTCTTGTTCTTGAATGTCTTTCTTCGTTTCTATATCAATATTAAACTTTCTATAATTTACTAAAGATTTGTATCTCATAATATCTGGTGAAGTGTCTTTTTTCAAAATATTTCTCTCACTAGCATTGTTGTTGTTGTTCTCTTAGCTTCCTTCTCTATACTTTCTTAATAGTTCTTAAATAAGTCTTCTGTGATACTTTCTCTTTTCCAAAGCAATATTTTACATCTGAGTCTTGATATCCTAAAATTGGTCTAGTAAATCCTCAAGTGCTCCCTTCTTTATAACAAGAAGATGACACTCTTAATCAGCCTCAGCCATGCACTCTCTTTAAAGTCTCCTCTAGAACAAGCAATCGCTATCACCAAAATATGAGCCTTCAACATAGAGGTTGAAAGGAACATTATAACTATCATCATCATCTTCTTCATCCTCATTAGTCTTTTATTTTGGCTGATAGCTTGGATTAATAGTTGGATCATGTAGATCAATATGCATGATAACACTACCCTTTAAAATAAAGTAAACTATATATCAATAAATAAACAAGATAATCTTACTTTCATCAGCATGATCACCTTAAGAGTATAATGTGTCTCCCTTGTATATTTTCATATTCTTAAGAAGTGGAAGTACTTGCCAAAGGAAATCGGGATTCTTATCTTAGAAGAATTTAATACCAGAGATTATATTTCCATGTGTGTGAGAAACTACCTCTGATTTTAAACTAGGAGGGAGTTCGTTAAGAAGTCTCTCCTAATCATCGATTGAAGTTATATCTTTGTTGTTGTTCTCCAAGAATCTTTTAATTCTCTGTTCCAAGGTTGGTGGAAGCAAGATTCTCTTTGAGAAGTCACTAAGAGTTGTCAACTTCTATTTAAGTATGCTATTCTTTGTGTCCATACTGGCGATGACACTGGACAAGTTACCAATAGTGAAAGAATAAAATCCTACTCCAAATACCATCCAAAGTATACTCAATATCTGTTCTACTTATGTATTCGCTGCAATATCTCCATAACCAACTGTAGTAATTGTCTGTAAAGCCCAATAGACTGAAGTCAAATATTAGTAACCATCATCCATATCCTCAATTTATCTTGCCATAACCCAGCAATCATATTCAAAATCATTAAACTTTGCTGATAAAAACCAGAAACAAGCCATTAAATGCACCATGAAGAACACACCTCCTGTAACTTAAACCATTCTCATCATACCCTAATTCATCTTCAAAGCATCTATGTACTTTCTGAAGCTTTTATTATACTTAAAGAGTTAAAACATCTTAAAGAGTCTGAGAATTCTGAGCAATCTGTATAGTCTAGGAAGCCTCGTCAGCCTCAGTAGTTTAACATTTTTACCTCCAGAACTATCACTAGAATTCTAAATCAGTTGGAAAGGAATGCATGCTGTTAAATCTAGTATAAACCAAGAACTCAGATAAGTTTTAGCTATCTTACTGAATCGGACTTCAATAAAACCTGTAATGGGATCTTCATAAGCAGAAATGAACTAAATAAACAGATCTAAATAGAAGAGGCAATCCAAAAATAGCTCAAATTCATATAACCCAGGCGGATCATCATCAAAGAATGCAGTTTTTACAGGCACGAACGAGGCTGTATAGGCTAGCAAGAATATAATAACGAAATTCCAGATTCTTTTAATCTAGGAATCAGGTAAGAGTATAATTGGCTTCTTTTTCAGGAAGGCCTCTCTTTCTTCTTTTGTAGGATCGAAGTTGATATTCTTAGTAGTTCCAAATATCATGATCTTTCTGTGCACCTCATCGAATTTTTCCTTAATCTTGGCTGCACCTTTGGCTTTCAAGTAGCATCTGTGCCACAAAAACTTTGATCTCTCATTCATTTCATCCTAACTGAGGAACTGTAAAGGCACATCGAACTCAGTTTCATCCTCTCCAACTGAGTATTCATCTATGCCTTTTTGTTCTTACTTAACCTCTTTCTCTATGATGCTATCCTTGAGTCCTTGACAGCATCTTCTCACTTTATGCTTACAACCTTACTACTCATCTGCTGACTTATTCCGTCTATTGGGTCCTTTGACCGCTTCTCTGACAGCATTGTTAGTTCTTTCTCTTAGATATTTCTACATCCTCATCGCCAGATTATTATTGATGCCTTCTCTTATTCTTTCTGGAGAGATGAAATTCTAGAATAGATTTTTTTAATGAATAAGTGTTTTACCTTTTAATCTTAATTAAGGTTGAGTTTGAGCTAGTTAATTTATTATTCCTCTTCCTCATCACTTTCATATCTGAAACTGTTTGAACTCATACTTTAACTCACAATATCTCTTGATTGTCTCAGAATAGATTCTCTTCTACTGATTTGTTTAGGTTTGGCCTCATCTTGCTACTTAGCTTGTTTACTGGCAGATTTCTCAACCCCTCCTCTTAGATTTGAAACGTTAAGTTTGTTACTATCATTTCTAGGGGCTATTTTGTAAGGCAGCTTTTATCCAGATTTAGGGTCTACATCTTAAAGGACCTAACTCATTTGAAACTCAAGCGAGTTTCTGATTAAATTAAATTTAATCTGAGTATGTTCCTGTTCATCTCTATTGTTGGCTGCGGCAATCATTGCTTCCACTTTCTTGACCTCCATACTCTTACGAGTCTAGAGCAAATTTTCAAGAATTTACATGTTGCTATTAGAACCTGGCTAAGGTCTCTGACTTGAATCTTTGTGATGGGATGGCTAATTCTATTAAATTATTGTTACAACTGTCGATTATCATTTAAATTTGCGAAAAATTCTTTACTTACCTAATTTCTTTTCATCTTTATAAATTTATTAATAATTAAAGAGAATCCTACTAATATATTTCCTAATTACTTTCACCACTCTGGGGTTTTGGGGTTTTGGGG